GTCCAGAGCGTCCAGCATCGTGGCGGAAAACATGAGAGTGAGGAGGCTGAGAGCGGGTATGCAGTCCTGCTTCATTTCACTGGTCGCTGAAAATGCTTCTGAGACCGTCCCGTTGTCTATGACGAGCGTCATCATGCCGTGGAGCAGCTAATGCACCATCCAGGACAGTCTAATGTCGGCGTGATATTTCAGAGTCCATCGCGACTGACCGTGTCTGGGGCTTTAGCAAGGCCTTCGAAGCCAGTATAGGGAGTGGGTCCGCATCTCCTCAGAACTTCTCTTGTAGTTTCCGAGCAGCGAAGGTCAGATATGCACTGTTTTTTGGGAGTAGTCCTTTTTCCAAGTGGGCGTTCAGGTGGTTAAGGAGGACGCGGGCGAAGGTTTTCCCTGCAGTGCCAGGTACAAAGTCCCAGCCAGTTTACTTTATGGACCAGAAGGTGTACTGGCACGCCCAGGTACGGGTTTTCACCGTGCCATCCACCTGGGCGCTCTCCCGCCCCCGGTTTTTTGACCTTGTCTTGACACCGGGCCCAAGTGGGGGAAGGAGGTGCGAGTGCGGCAGATGCTTTGCAAGTCCACTATCACTTTAAACCAATTCACGGACAAGTCGCCATCTCTTCTCACACTCTGCCGTGGAGCATATGTGGACATAGTCGGTAACGACGGTAGAAATAAGGTCCCGTTTGGCTCCAACAACGGGCGCGAGAACACTTTCCTGCCTGGCCAAATAAAGGCATGGAAAAGTCCATCTCTGGCGCAATTGCGGCTCGCTGAGTTGACAGCGGCCACCGGAGCAGACGTCAACCAGACATTCCAAATTATCTATAAAGTTGCGAAAATTCCCATTAAAGACTACAACAGACAATTTGGCGAGCATACGTAAGCTTTCGATAAATTCTCACCAGGCCTATACATTTATATTGCTATCGAAATGATTAAAAGGAAAATAATTTAGAGGCGGCATACGTCCTTTCGATAGTGCACCTAAGTCGTCGCTTGATCACGTTTGACACATTATCACCCTTGAAGGGGAGGTAGATGGTCATGGACTTTTTAGGTACAGATATTTCTTCAGGAGGACATACATGGAAAGGACATGGAAAGGACAATACATGCACTTCCTCAGTTTCGTTCCAATTCAAAGAAAACGGAACTTGGTTTTGTGCCTGTTCAATAGAGCCACCAGAATCTGCTCCTCAGATACGATCGATGACGAGCTTACTTTCCTAAAAAACGTTTTTCTTGCAAACGGGTATCCGGAGAAATTCATCGATAAATATCGCCATCCCAGACAAGAAACTCCTGAAGAAATATCTGTACCTAAAAAGTCCGTGACCATCTACCTCCCCTTCAAGGGTGATAATGTGTCAAACGTGATCAAGCGACGACTTAGGTGCACTATCGAAAGGACGTATGCCGCCTCTAAATTGTTGTTCATAAAAGGAAAATGCGGCAAGCAGAAGTTATTCTGCAGTTGGGGTTTAGGGGGGAGGGTCTGGGTGGAGTGAGTTGAAAAAGCAAAATTACCGTCAGTGTCAGGGGGAGAAGGGAAGATTCACACCGTTAAACATGAAGCGCAATTTAGTCCGCTGCTTGGCACAAAGAGTAAGGAGGATCTGCTCGGCTGATAGAATTGGGGAAGAACTTGAGACTGTCGAAAATATCTTTCGCCAGAACGGGTACCTCGATTGATTCATTACAAAGTACACGACCGAAAGACCACCAAAGCCCCCGATGTTGATGGCAGAAAAGGAGAAGCTTTTTATAGGGTTCAGTTTCAAGGGGACGCGCCAAGCGAACTTCTAAGAAGGCGCATAACTCAAGCTGTATCACTCACCTTTCCAGCAGCGGACGCCCGCGTACTCTTCTCCACTAGTCCCATCCTACACGGAGAGGGCAAGGACAAACTGCCAGCGCAGACCACTTCTATGTGTATTTAATCCTTCACCTGCTCCTGTGGGGCAGAATATATTGGTCGCACGAGCCGGCGTTTGTTCAAACGAATAAGAGAACACCTTCCAGCATGGTTAGGAAAGGGCCAAATAAAGAACGTCAACAGGTTCATCCTCGCTTACGTGGTACACACATATCACTATGTAGATGCCGGACAGGCATTCCGAGTGATTTACAAGGTCCCGTCAAGCTATCCAAAATCACTTGGACAGCGTCTGTTGACAACAGCAGAGGCGGCTGCAATCAGGCTATACAAACCAGTTCTATACGCACAAAAGAACTCCGTACGGGCCCAACAGTTGCCATGGCCCAAAGCCACCATGCCAGCCACCTGCGTATAAGTACCCATTCCAGTGCCCACCACGGCCTTCTCCCCCTGACGCTGACGGTATTTTTGTTTTTTTACCACATCCACCCAGACCACCCTCCCCCAAACCCCAGCTAGAGAATAATTTCTTCTTGCCCACATTTTCCTTTTAATCATTTCGATGGCAATATAAGTGTATAGGCCTGATGAGAATTTATCTATAAAGTGCCGGCGAGACGCTCCGAGTCCCTGCGTCAGCGGGTAATTGCGACGGCAGAAGCAGTGGACATACGGTTATCCAATAGAGCCGTGTGCTCGCAGAAGACGTTTGCGCAGGTCCTAAAACTCCCCTGGCCAAGGATGAACCCAGTATGTGTGTTTGCAACCCCGGCAACGCCGTGTTAAAGCGACGAAGCAGAGGCATCGCTAATGGCCAGACGATAACCCCTGACCCACTGGACACCCTCAACCCTCTCCCCATACTTGCTGTTTGCTGGCAGTCTAAACCTTACACTCCCTTATATTACTATCTAGACCGTACAGTGTACAAAGTACGCCTACCAAACTTGACTTCTTAAATGTTTGAGGATTGCCAACTAACGGAACAACCATGTTCAACTTAAGACCTGAACAAAACTGCACCGCTTCCCCCTTTTAAAAAAAATTACGACACTTAATAGCGTGGGATCTGAACCCAGCTGACCATGTCGTGGGTGGCAAGCCACTGTGTGCATGTCCACCTCCGCTCTCCTTGACATTGTCTTTCCGCCGAAAGACGATGGGTATGGGAAGAGGGAGAGAGAGCGTAAAATAAATGCACCACAAGCACTGTAAACAAAGTCCCACGCTCAAGTCACTGCCGTACCAAACTCTGGAACAGCGGAAGACGTGACCGCTAGCGACTGCTTAGGAGGGTTGTTCCCATCCCGCGGCATCCGCGGGAGTGCCATTTGTCCCTCGTTGCGATGACTATCCCCAGTCTCGTGCACCAATTACCAGAAGAGCCAGTTTTAACGAGCGAAAATAAGGGTGGATGCAACAATTGACTGGGTGTCCGTCCATCATCTGTGTGCATCAAGGGCGTTCCTGTTTCCCTTACTGCCAAATCAAACTTCGTTTAGAGTGCAACAGGCCAAACGCAGACAGCCGTTTCACGGTCGTTACCGATCATCAGTGCGTCACAGACCTTATGAAGTGAGGTATATAAGCATGTCAAGTAGGCGTCTGACACTCACTGTTGTGGTTAGGATCTCACTCGATCCCACTCTGCCCACCTGTCAGCTTGCTATTGGCGACAAAGAACGCTGTGTCAGAGAACACATACCACATATAATACATAGGCAGGCCATTAAAAGTGCAACGGGGCAGACGCAGACAGCTCTTTCACGGTCCTATGAAACAGCGTTCGTTGTCGTCAGTAGCAAGCTGTCGGGCGGACAGTATGGGATCGAGTGAGATCCTAACCACAGCAGTGAGGGTCACACGCCTACTTGACAAATCAAACTGCTTTCACGTTTGAGTATTCGCGTACGTCAGGAATAAGCACCTTCCAGCAAACAGGCAGGCCGGGTGACTTGCGCGAGAACTAGCTTATACATAGATAGGATGTTATACCATGCGTGACAGCACAGGTAGTAGCCAAAAGCCCAGCCACGCCTGTTTCGCCAATGACAGTTCGACCGTCGATTTCGACGATGTCCACCGTGTGCTCCACAGCTGGTGGGAGCAGGGACGGCGACTTACGCAGGGGTTTATAGTGCCAGTAGACTTGCGCTGCATCTACCTACACTCTCTCCTCCTCCCCCGCCTGGGCCCGGTGTCAAGACAGAGTAAAGTAGAACGGAGACGAGGGAGGCCGCAGGTGGATGGCTCGGACGGATCCTCACCTTGGCGTTCCACCACACCCCCTGGTCCACACAACAATGACCAGGATTTCAACCAACACAGCAGAGATTTGGAGGCTGGCACGGCCGAAGCCGCACCTAGGCGTGCCGCCGTCGCCTGGCTCGGATCCCACACTGTGGTGAGAGTGCCATAAAGGCCACATTAAAAAGGAGACATTGCAGCCTGACTCTCAGACAGCCTCAGTGAAGGAGGAGGTCCAAGGTACGCCGTCAGTTGGCAACCTTCCAAGCCACGGCTTTTAGCGCACCGTGATAGCTTCAAGCGCCTCAGATTGTTTATAGTGAGGAGAAAGTGCGCTGAGTCGTCGACCTCACTCGCCCTTCCCACTCCCACACCCCAGCCGCTGTCCGAGCCGGTCAGCAGACTGGAGTGGGGAATGGGCGCGGTGGCTGACATGGTCGACTGACCATGCCTGCGCGCGCCACAGCACGACCTGGCCCCCCATACACACACAAGCACCAGGATTTCACACAACGGGGGTTGAACGGCGTGTCTCCCACTTGCGTGAGAGGGCCGTGGAAGGTGCTGCTTCAGCCCGTCCCCAGCCCACCAGTCCGCCACTTCACACAACACACACACACGTGACGAACTGCGTGAACCGAGAGCGGGCCTCAATCAGCAACCTTCCTATCCACGACGCTTGACGTGTCGGGATAGTCTCGGACTCAAGTCACCCGTGCAGCCGAAGCCGCATGGGGACCGAGTCGAGATGCACACTTCCCATTTGCGTGGGAGGCGGCAGTTGAGTGCATGAGGTGTGTGGGGTTGATGTCTGGTGGGGTGATGGTGTTAGGAGGTAGGGAGTGAGGGACTGTGTGGTGTGACCAGCGGTTGTCTACCGCAGGTCGTCGTGGATGCGCATGTAGCCGAATAGACCCATGCGATGAGTGAAGGTGCGAGGGCATTGTTGGCAGTGGAGGCGAGTGCGGTGGGTGTAGGTTGGTGCTCCAGGCACTGGTTCGCCAGTCTCTGTGCGATGGATTCGCAAGTGACCAACCAGGCCGATGCGTGAGGTGAAGGTGCGTGGAAAATGTGGGCATGAGAGGTTGGCGGTGTCGGCGTCAGCTGTAGAGGAAGCAGTGGTGCTGGTGGTGGTGGTCGGCGCGTGTGACGGTGGAGCGAGGATGGGTCTGGGCGTGGTGGATGTGTAGGATGTCGTGGCTGTATCGGAATTGTGGTCAATTCCGCTCTCGTGGATGCGCATGTGGCCGAATAGACCCATGCGATGCGTGAAGGTGCGAGGGCAGTGTGGGCAGTGGAGGCGAGTGCGGTGAGTGTTGGTTGGTGCTCCAGGCACTGGTTCGCCAGTCTCTGTGCGATGGATTCGCAAGTGACCGACCAGGCCGATGCGTGAAGTGGAGGTGCGATCGCAGTGAGGGCAGATGTAGTGCTGGCCCTCACGTCTGATGATGGAGGTTGCAGGGGTTGTGCCTGTTGTTGTGTCGGGTTCGGCTGTGGTGAAGTCGTGGGCGACAGACGCCGAAGCGGCCGTCGTTGTGGCAGTGATGGAGGAAGAGGAGGAGGAAGGGGCGGAGTGAGGGGTGGTAAGGTCGGTGGCGTCGATGTCGGCTGGGGAGTGGTTAGTGGGTGCACAAGGTGGTGGATTGGGAGTGGGGCTCGGTGGGGTGGGTGTTTCAAGGCTGCGGTCAATTCCGCTCTCGTGGATGCGCATGTGGCCGAATAGACCCATGCGATGAGTGAAGGTGCGAGGGCATTGTGGGCAGTGGAGGCGAGTGCGGTGGGTGTAGGTTGGTTCTCCAGGCACTGGTTCGCCAGTCTCTGTGCGATGGATTCGCAAGTGACCGACCAGGCCGATGTGTGAGGTGAAGGTGCGGTCACAGTGAGGGCAGGTGTAGTCCTGATCCTCATCAGTGGTATCGGGAGAGGTGGGAGATGTGATGTCGGTTGTTGTGTTGGGGATGGTGATGTGTGAGACAGCAGTCTGAACGGCCGCTGCTGGGGCAGTGGAGAGGGAAGAGGACGACGACGAGGATGGAAGTGGTGGTGCAGGAGGAGTGTCAGAGTTAGTTGGCGGCAGAGAGGACGAGGAAGAGGCGGGCGGGGGGACGATGGCTGGAGCAGTTCGAGAGGTGCAGTTGATCCGAAGATGTCCAACAAGTCCGATTCGTGCCCGGAATGTCCGTTGACATCGAGGACACATAGGGAGAGGTTGTGCGGCGGCGTTGCGGACTGGGCGAAGTTGTGATTTGCGGGCTTCGCGTTTCACTTTGGCGGCGGCGATGCGGTTGGCTTCGTAGATAGCAGCGCCCGTCTTCACTGTTCTCCTCCATGTCGGGCGATCGCGAGCGAGCTCTTCCCAGTTGATCGGGTTGATTTGCAGGCGCTTCAGGGAGGACTTCAGGGTATCCTTGTAACGGCGAATCTGGCCTCCTTGACGGCGAGAACCCGTCGCGACGTCTCCGTAGAAGAGTCGTTTGGGTAGTCGCTCGTCATCCATGCGCACCAGGTGGCCGCCCCAGCGCAGCTGCATTTGTCTCAGTATGGCGTAGATGCTGAGGATTCCCGTTCGTTCCAGTACTTCCGTGTCGGGGATTCGATCCTGCCAGTTCAGCCTCAGGATGCGACGAAGACAACTGAGATGGAAGTGGTTCAGTCGGCGTGCCTGTCTCGTGTACACCGTCCAAGTCTCCGCTCCATACAGTAGCGTCGGTAGGATGACGGCCTTGTACATCTTCAGCTTTGTGCTTAGTTGAAGACCATGACGATTCCAAACTGTGCTTTGGAGGCGACCGAAGGCTTGACTGGCTTTCGAGATCCTGTTGGCGACTTCGTCATCAATCTTCGTGCTGCGTGAGAGGGTACTGCCCAGGTACGGGAAGTTCTCTACCACTTGCAGTTGGGTTCCGTTCACGCTGATTTGCGGCGCGTTGGGGGCTGTGACTGAGTTGGGAGGCGGCTGATGCATCACCACCGTCTTCTGCGTGTTGATAACCAGCCCAAAGTTCTCGCAGGCGGCGGCGAATAGGTCCATGCTGCGTTGCATCTCCGCTTCGGAGGTGGTGTTCAGGGCGCAGTCGTCGGCGAAGAGGAGTTCGTGCACGGTGGTTGTGGATACGCGCGATTGGAAGTGCATTCACCGTTGATTCAGGAGATGACCGTCCGTTCTGTAGGCGATGCGGATCCCGGTGCGTTCGTCGCGGTAGGCGTCCATCAACATTTCAGAGAACATAAGACTGAAGAGGGTTGGTGCCAGCACACAGCCCTGCTTCACTCCGTTGGTCACTGCGAATGCCTCTGAGACAGCTCCGTTGTCCGTGACTCGCGCCATCATACCGTCGTGCAGCTGACGCACCATCTGAGT